CTATTCGAATTAACGAAAAATACCTATTAGAATGCACTACGATATTTGCGATCAGGCCATGCTGACTTTTGTCTATTGCTGCTTCTGTATATGTACGCTGCAACCCAGTTCGCCGGGAAGCATGATATTAACAGCAATTACGATCCAACGTCTGCTTTCGTTGTGTTCGATGTGTACGAGGGATATATCGCCCTCTACAACTGGAACTTGATTGCGAATCGACTGTGAGTTGGCTAATCACGAGGTTTTGCATTACCTAAAGAACTGAAGTCATTTCGTATCTGGTAGATAACTACAAATGTTTTCAGAAGAACGCACGGGGCACTATGTGCCCCACGCTGAAGCTTATGTTGCATTATTGATGCTCCTTCAAAGCAGTTCGGCGAAAACAAATTACACTTCAACTAGGTCTTTTTAAGCTGGATATATTTCATTCCACTTTATTTGGTTTGTTCTGCCTACATGAACAATTTTCTCTTAAATGGCCACGTGCCCACGCTAATTACGCTTATCTTCGGTAACTTTGTTGCATCTGTAGCATTTTCAAGTAACTTGTGGACATTTTTTTACTTATTGCCGATTCGTTGCTAACCAACTTACTTCATATGGTAAGTTAGCGAAGAGTTATGCCACCGTACCTGTATGCATTATTCGATTTATTTCATTTAATTTGTCGTTTCAAGTGATTGGCTGTTGCTTGATATCCCCGGTGTGGTTGCGCTTGATGTGCATGTTGACAAGGTGCCTACCTGTCTATTACCCACTACCTCGTCCATCTGGCTCAAGGAGATAGTTGGTCGTTGTTGGAGTGGACGGGGTGCACGGTCCTTGTGGTCGTGCTAGGCTCGAAGAGCGGTTCCATGCACTCAGTGTGGAACGGACTACGGTCCAGCCACCGCTTTGTGTGCGCTTGATTACCCAAATACAGTGTGCTTGTGTTTGCCTGTGAAGGAGTGTGGACCGGCTCCGTTGATGAAATGTGGCTCCCATCCACCTGCCTCTCGGTCTTATTTCTTCGGGTTTACACTGGATATGGGTTGTGTGGTTGGAGCTGTGGGTGTTGCAGTGCAAGCCACCCATGGTCCTTCTGTAGACGCAGGCGTCCTGTGGCTGGCCACAGTGACAGGCAAATCCGAAACCGGATTCCGCCAACCATGTATGTATGTGTGCCCCATACTGAGGCTGATGTTGCATTCTTGATGCTTCTTCAATGTCATTGGGCTAAACCAACTTACACGTAAACTAGGTCCTTTTAAGCGGGTAAATTTCATTCCACTGTATTTGGTTTGTTCTACCTACATGAATAATTTTCTATTAACCGGCCACCTTACTTACGTTAAGTGCGCTTATCTTCGGTAAATTTGTTGCATCTGTAGCATTTTCAAGTAACTTGTGGACATTTTTTATTGCCGATTCATTACTAACCAACTTACGTCATATGGTAATTTAGCGAAGAGTTATGCCACCGTATCTGTATGCATTATTCGATTTATTTCCTTTAATTTGTCGTTTCAAGTGATTGGCTGTTGCTTGATATCCCCGGTGTGGTTGCGCTTGATGTGCATACCTGTCTTTTACACACTACCTCGTTCAAACTGGCTCCTGAAGACAGTTGGTCGTTGCTGAAGTGGACGGGATGCACGGTCCTTGTGGCCGGTTTCGGATTTGCATGTCAATGTGACCAGCCACAGGACGCTTGCGTCTACAGAAGGACCATGGGTGGCCTGCGCTGCACCAACCGCAGCTCCAACCACACAACCCATATCCAGTGTAAACCCGAAGAAATAAGACCGAGAGGCAGGTGGATGGGAGCCACATTTCATCAACGGAGCCGGTCCACACTCCTTCACAGGCAAACACAAGCACACTGTATTTGGGTAATCAAGCGCACACAAAGCGGTGGCTGGACCGTAGTCCGTTCCACACTGAGTGCATGGAACCGCTCTTCGAGCCTAGCACGACCACAAGGACCGTGCACCCCGTCCACTCCAACAACGACCAACTATCTCCTTGAGCCAGATGGACGAGGTAGTGGGTAATAGACAGGTAGGCACCTTGTCAACATGCACATCAAGCGCAGCCACACCGGGGATATCAAGCAACAGCCAATCACTTGAAACGACAAATTAAATGAAATAAATCGAATAATGCATACAGATACGGTGGCATAACTCTTCGCTAAATTACCATATGAAGTAAGTTGGTTAGCAACGAATCGGCAATAAGTAAAAAATGTCCACAAGTTACTTGAAAATGCTACAGATGCAACAAAGTTACCGAAGATAAGCGTAATTAGCGTGGGCACGTGGCCATTTAAGAGAAAATTGTTCATGTAGGCAGAACAAACCAAATAAAGTGGAATGAAATTTAGCCGGCTTAAAAGGACCTAGTTTACGTGTAAGTTGGTTTAACCCAACTGCGGTGAAGGAGCATCAATAATGCAACATCAGCCTCAGCATGGAGCATATATATATATATATATATATATATATATATATATATATATATATATGTATATATATATATATGTATAAATATATATATAATGGTAGAGATTTGAATCCTAAAACGGGATAGGCGGTTGCAAGAGTATAGACCGTATTTTACAGCGTACTGAATGAACGAATTGTGCAAACAATGGGACTACCCATCTAACAAGCTGGGAATATAAATCCCTGGGTTCATCGCAAATAAGGAATATTAAAGATCAATTACAATCAACAGGATAGTAAAGCGCGTCTGATGCCGGTATTAGCCTTCAGCGAAAGTACTCTGTAACGAGTCTTAAATGAAAAGAACCTAGTGCTGAGCAACTTACATGAGTGAAAAAGATTAGCTTGAAAAGCGGCTATAATAGAAGGGTTGGAGCTCCGTAGTAAATCGCAAGGTAAACTGAACAAGTTTGACATAATTAGGATGACAAGGTCATTAGTTAGCTAAAAATGGAAACAATCATTCTGCACAAAAGACTGCAGACGAGGTGAATGCGACCGATTAGTTCGAAGCACTATAGTATTTAGGTGAGGCAACTTTATACAAACTCGTTTCCATACGATAAGCTGTGAATTTATGGCAGGAGCTATTGCGGTGTAAAAGAGCATAACACGTTAGCCACCGCTATAGTAGTGTACAGAATGGGATAACAACAAAAGATGACAATTGAATTGGGTCCAGATCTAGAAACAGCATGGTTAACAATATCAGGTGGGCACTAGGTTAGTCGAGGCAGTACGGGGACGGGCATACCCAGAGCGTCTACTTAGTTTGGGAATGCATTCAATGCACTACCGAAGGCTTAGAGGAGACCTAATCCTAACATACCGTATCTTAACTGGGGAGGTTAGTAGAGATTTATTTTGGCTATTCGGTCCCGCTAGACTGTCTGTTCTACGCGGTCATCACTTGAAGCTGGACAAACTGCGGTCCGATAGGATTAGGGCGGAAATCCGGCTGTCACACAGTCATCGAGGGCTGGAACATGCTTCCGGAAAGTGTTATCAGTGATTGTACAGTTAAGGGGTTTGAGCTGCCACTTGACGCTCTTGGGCGGAAACACGAAACCTTCCCATTTTCCTGAGTAACTCACATCCTCGTACTTCGATTCGCTTTTCTCTACTTTTCTTCACGCATTGGTATTATTTTCTTATTTCAAGTGAAATTTCTTATTCTGTACCTCGGATTTCTCTTCCTATCCTTTGCTTAGTTCACGTGACTGCCACAGCAGGGACTTCTAGGGCATGAAACGTTGGCATTAACTAGTTGGCCAGGGTGCGATACGGGTGTTCCGTTTTAGATCCATGAATAACTCGGGCAGTTCATCAATTCCTGGCTCAACGATCCACTCAAGATGGAACACACACGGGATTCGCCTATCGTTCCAGTCCCACCCGAACTTGAAAGCAGTAAATATTGCAAAAGCGCAAAACCATGTTGATGTCCAGAAATGACTCACGTAAAGCGGCTTACTAGATAGCCGTTGTGTTATTGGGTTACTCAGCTGGCTTGCCGAACAACCTGCTCGTAGTTCCAGCTGGGTGGTTCGGGATTTTCCCGTTCCAGCAAATGGTTCGGCGGCAATGTTCCAGGACGTGGTGGGTTTTCGCCTGGCAAGCGTTCTCCCTATAAAAAGCCACATATGTCCGTTTAACAACACTGTGACGTGGCGGACGTGACTCGCCACTAAATAAAGTCACTGCCCCTTGCTTCACCCTGGCGAAGCATTGTATTCCAGCAACCTTATGCTGTACTTCTGGGGAGCATTGGGTCCCTGTTTCACAAAGGAACAAACGAAAGGCGTATGAACTGAACAATCAGTCACCGGCTCCCAATGGGCGCGATTCCCTGAATTCGCTCCGCTACCTTGCGGACAGGCTATTCAGCCAAAGGCTCGGGGTGGTGTCCCCTAACTCAACACCCTACTTCGGCTTGGGCAACTGGGTAGTATCTCGCCCTCTGAGGAAACCATGGACATTGTTGTGTTGTGTTTTATTTTACTGTTTCTGTATCTTCGTTTGAATCCCATGTTTTCTGATGGCATTATGTCTGTTAACAGACTTTTGCAAATATATATATATATACATATATATATATATATATATATATATATATATATATATATACTGGGTTACTCGCAATAGAGAACACGTAATCTAGACAAGCTCATATAGACAGTCTGCATACGAAGAAAAAACAGCCCGTTACAGGGCGGAATTTGAAGTCAACCAGCGAAATTGACGTGGCGAAAAGTTCGCAACAGACGATGTACAGGATAGTAGACCAGACACCGTCAAATTCCCCACAGCGGAACTCCATAGGTCAAGTAGTGCCGCAGGCAAGAGCAGTCAAAAAGCGAATGCCGATGAGGAACAGAGCTATCTGGCACTGCTGGTTGCACGAGTAGCAAGTCTATACCAAGGCGATATGGTTGAATGTATTAAGTGGCGGATTAATGGTGCACCCAACAGGAACAAAAGAATTTTCAACTGGAACCCGTAAGATAATCAAAGAAAACTGATAGGATTGCACCACGCGTTAATAGAAACGGTGGCTCACTTTGTGCGTCCAGCGCGTGTGGATGATCTGCGAAGTTTGAAAATAATTCCCGAGATATCGGATGAGTCACAGTATTCCACCTGGATAGGCACATCATTCAATTTTATATTGGCGTTGACAGCCTGCGCCGCCGACTTGACGTCCGTGTACGACACGACACCATATCGAAGAGGACCGTCTTTCAATATCCGAACATCCTGTACGATGCCGTGGCTAAAATGAAACTGGATAAAGTGGAATCCATATGCATACCGCTCGAATGCAGTACGGAGTTCATAGTCCTGACACTTAGCGGGTAAATCACGGATATAAACAAACCGGGTCTTTCCCATTTCAGTGTTGCATGGATAACATTTCCTCCCACGATTACAAGGGCTAGATCCAAGGCAATGCCCAGGGTGGAAAGCGGCCGGGTGGAGCTAACGCAGGCTAAGACTAAGGCCAGAGTGGACAGTCAGTCTACTGTGAAACCCGATCGATGAGCATACGCGATTGGTCAGAGGGGTATCATCCTTTTTACCTTGAAGGACGATTTTGTTCGCCAAGGTCACTGCTTGCATGCTGCGCACCAGCGCGCAAGCTAATCGATCATGCCGCGCAGGACGGGGTGAGAGCAAATGGCAACTTGAAGGTGACCGGGTGTGTTGTGGCATGGTGTGACTCGCCGCCCATTGATTGCTGCGTCTATGCGCGATTGCTGATGCGACTTATCGATCATCGGCGAAGCGACTGACTCCTGGGAGATATGTTTGGTGCACACATCACAGTTCTAACAGGCGTGTTGTTCATGGCTGTTTCTGCGCATTGGGTTAGCTTAGTTCAGGTGTATAACATCCGTAGTTGCTTGTTCGGTTTCGAGTACCCGACAAAACTACGGCTTGTGGCGCGCCATTAAAATTGAGGTAAAACCTGATTGTTTAAATCAGTATGGATGCATCCGAATTGCTCTACGTTTCCATGCTCATTTGACGAACAAATGTGTCAGGATGAGTGGGAACTGGACGATGCGCCGAAATTTCTGCCCAAATGCTAATGTGTCCGAAAACAGCCTTTGTAAAAGTGCGTCGACCGGCTGATGCAGTCGCTGCAACGCTGCAAGCACGCGGGTCTGTTTACACAATAGGCTACAGTTCGCTGCGTTTCGCTTTACCGTTATTTGGGCTGACTTCAGCGACCGCAGCGATCTCCCTCTACTAGTTCGCGCCTTTTCAAGAGTTCTGTCTCTTTTTGAACACAGTAAGATACTGTTAGTCATTTCTAACACGAATTCGGTAGTCTGGTCTGGGTGTTTGGTTGCTTGCTGCACCTTTCACGTTACATACTCGGCGTATGGTGTGCTCACCGGTATCGTTGACAACAACAACTGCTTGGCATGACTGCCCTAATGTTATTTTCTCGGCATTCAGCCGTGGACCTCCCATTGAACTCGCCAGCCAGGCGCTAACGTAAATCTTCGCCGCATGGTCCTAATGTGCACTATATTCCGAAAAGAAAGTTCCCCTCCTAATCACTACTATACTTCCCATCCTAGTTCGAAGACATCTCTGTCAATGGCCTCCGCAATTGTCGTCACATCTCAGCCAACGTAAGCAAATATGGGCTTGCTTTTCCGTTCATCACGCTGTTGTTCCAGGTCGGTAGTGTTGTGTAAATCAACTAGGTTGTTTGGGCCACTTCCCTGTACATTGGATACTCAGGCGCAGATTGGTAGTTCTTATTATCGTGGTTGCGGCATCCGGTTTCGGATTTGCCTGTCACAGTGGCCAGCCACAGGACGCCTGCGTCTACAGAAGGACCATGGGTGGCTTGCACTGCAACACCCACAGCTCCAACCACACAACCCATATCCAGTGTAAACCCGAAGGAATAAGACCGAGAGGCAGGTGGATGGGAGCCACATTTCATCAATGGCACCGGTCCACACTCCTTCACAGGCAAACACAAGCACGCTGTATTTGGGTAATCAAGCGCACACAAGGCGGTGGCTGGACCGTAGTCCGCTCCACACTGAGTGCATGGAACCGCTCTTCGAGCCTAGCACGATGACAAGGACCGTGCACCCCGTCCACTCCAACAACGACCAACTATCTCCTGGGGCCAGATGGACGAGGTAGTGGGTAATAGACAGGTAGGCACCTTGTCAACATGCACATCAAGCGCAACCACACCGGGGATATCAAGCAACAGCCAATCACTTGAAACGACAAGATGAAATAAAATAAATCGCATAATGCATACAGATACGGTGGCATAACTCTTCGCTAAATTACCATTTGAAGTAAGTTGGTTAGCAACGAATCGGCAATAAGTAAAAATGTCCAGTAGTTACTTGAAAATGCTACAGATGCAACAAAGTTACCGAAGATAGGCGTAATTAGCGTGGGCACGTGGCCATTTAAGAGAAAATTGTTCATGTAGGCAGAACAAACCAAATAAAGTGGAATGAAATATATCCAGCTTAAAAAGACCTAGTTAAAGTGTAATTTGTTTTCGCCGAACTGCTTTGAAGGAGCATCAATAATGTAACATCAGCCTCAGCCTGGTGCATGGGAGCCACATTTCATCAATGGCACCGGTCCACACTCCTTCACAGGCAAACACAAGCACGCTGTATTTGGGTAATCAAGCGCACACAAGGCGGTGGCTGGACCGTAGTCCGCTCCACACTGAATGCTTGGAACCACTCTTCGAGCCTAGCACGATGACAAGGACCGTGCACCCCGTCCCCTCCAGCAACGACCAAATGTCTCCTGTAGCCAGTATGGACGAGTTAGTTGGAAATAGACAGGTAGGCACCTTGTCAACATGCACATCAAGCGCAACCACACCGGGGATGTCAAACAATAGCCAATCACTTCAAATGACCTTATCAAATAAAATATATCTGTTTAAGATAACGGCTAAGCGGGCGTAACTCTTCGCTAAATGAGCATATGTGGTAAGTTGGTTAACAACGAATGCGCGATAAGTGCAAAATGGCCCGAAGTTATTCAACAATGCTACAAACTCAATAAAGTTAACGAAGATAAGCGCAATTAGCGTAAGTAACGTGGCCAGTTAATAGAAGATTATTCAGATTGACAGAACAAATCAAATAAATTGGACCTGGCCTAATGAAGCTCTTGTGTCAATGGCGATACGTTGTCACAATAAAATCATTTAAAACCGATTTGTATTCAAACCTTCTGAAATCATGAAATCCCAGTCGGTTCCAAGCATATTCCGAGATATGTTATGAAATTTATCCAACTTAAAATGGCCTAGATTACGTGTAAGTTGGTTTAGCTCAACCGCGGTGAAAGAGCACTATGAATACAACATCAGTCTCAGCATATATATATATATATATATATATATATATATATCCTCTTCGGAGGCTAGGAACTGGTCGATGGCCCTCTTCCCGTAAAACCTAGCCATGGGAGAAAACAAGTTTACGGGTTATAAGCTCACAACTTGATTAGCGTGGAGCAAGAGCGCCACGCATTTTCTCTGATAGTGGGAGGGCACCTGCAGTTGTTCAATGGTTTACTACTGCCCGCCTCAAGCCAGGCAGCCCTTGGTCAAATTGGTGCAAACCCGCCAAAACCCAACTACGTCTGGCCGTGGTCCCTGGGGTATTGTATTACGGGCGCAAAACTTATATAAACCGTTCCAGTACCTCCAAGGCTGCGTGTGACGGCCGTCAAGCAGATCCCAGTCTGTCTCTACAATCACATTCCCGAGCTGGATCTGCTCCCCACTGCCTTGTGTTTCAGGCCATTGAGTCAAATGCTCCGGGTGGAGTCCCTCAAGCAAACCACCAAATCACCCACTGCCTTGTGGGTCAGGCTATTGAGCCAAAGGCTCCAGGTGGAGTTCCTCAAGACAACCTCCGAAGCACAACGACCATCTGGCGTGCGATTTCCCACCAATGCAATCGTATTTATGCGCGCAAAGCACTCAGAATCGGCTGCTGGAACGTGCGCACACTACTGGACCGGAGCTCGAGTGAGCGCCCGGAGCGACGCACTGCACTGGTCGCGATGGAACTGGCGCGCTACCACATCGATATTGCGCCGCTCAGTGCAAGTCGGCTCGCTGCGCAAGGTAAGTTGCATGAAGCAGGTGCTGGCTACACATTCTACTGTGTGTACAACGCCGCGTCAGCACCACGGGATCATGGGGTCGGATTTGCAATATCCGATCGCTTCCATGGCCAGCTGGTGGGTGAACCAACGGGCATCAGCGCACGACTGATGACCGTTCGCCTACGATTCGGAAGAGGTACACTTGCCACTTTTATAAGCAATTACGCTCCTACTATGTGTTATCCTGATGACACGCGTGATCAGTTCAACACTGAGCTATCCTCTATGGTACGGTCTGTGCCGAGGAGCGACCGACTATTTCTGCTGGGTGATTTCAACGCGCGCGTTGGGAGTGATGCATCAGCGTGGACAGATGTTATCGGTGCGCATGGCATTGGTTCAGCGAATGCGAACGGTGACAGGCTGCTCTCACTGTGTGCCACTCACGGCCTGACGATCACGAACACTCGGTTTGCACTGAGTGCGAGTGATATAGCAACTCGGACGAACCCACGGAGTGGTCACGCTCACCTGCTCGACTATGTGATCGTACGTCAGTGTGATATGCGTGAAGTGCGCATGACACGTGTACTGCGTGGAGCTGAGTGTGCCACTGGTCACAAATTGGTTCGGACCAAACTGTACATATATTTTCGTAAATCGAGGTATTGCACTCCCGCTGTGAATCGGCGTAAATTTAACATTCTCTCCCTCGGTACTGTGGCGAAACGTACTGAGCTGGAGAAGGCGATGGCTGCACGCCTGTGTGGTGATGTGGACTGCATAACCACTGTGGGCGACCTGTGGCACCACATTCGCAACCAGGTGACAACTGCTGCCGAGGAGACCGTTGGGCGAACAAACTGTAAGCGGCCTGATTGGTTTGATGACAATAATGCGACGATCGGCGCATTGGTGTCGGAGAAGAATGCAGCATTTGCTGCACATGTTGCAGACCCCAGTGACTTGAGGAAGAGTAGTCAGTTTCTCAAACTTCGACGGCGACTGACTCGAGAGCACCGTCGCATAAAAATTTCATGGTGGACAGAGAAGGCGAAGCAGATGGAATGCTACGCCGAAAGCAGCCAACACAAGGAATTCTTTGACTCCTTGAAGGCGGTATATGGACCGAGATTGGAGCAGCTGAGGATGCTGATCTATGGTGGTTCAGGCGCTACCTGCACACAGACTGCAGACATAATGCAGATCTGGCGGAAATACTTTGTCTGTCTCTTGAACAACCGTTCAGAGATCGACTGACC